TGGAGGTACCGCTGCCGGCCCCTCTCGGCACCCCTGCTCCTGAGCTGCAGGGCCGGCGTCCCCCCCCGCCTCCCTGAGCACGTTGCGGTTGCAGGTCGGTGCGGGCGTCAGTCTGCCCGGCGTGGTGGCTGCCAAGTGCGGTGCTGAGGTGATCCTGTCCGACAGCGAGGAGCTGCCCCAGTGCCTGCAGAACTGTCGGAGGAGCTGCCTGATGAACGACCTGCCCCACGTACCTGTCGTGGGACTCACTTGGGGGCGGGTATCTCCAGAGCTGCTCTCTCTTCCTCCTGTAGACATTATTTTAGGATCAGACGTCTTTTTTGACCCAAAAGGTATGTTAACGCTCTCGGGTATCTGATTTGTGACAAACTGCAAGGAACTTCGTGTCCAAGGAGGACTGGGAAAACTGTCAAGAGATCAGGTGACAGCCTTTATGGTGATACTGTGCTACTGAACTTGTTATTCTTGGGGTAATTGTAGCATTAAGCTGTCATAAATACCACTGGAGGGGGGTGAGTAGAGAATGGAGCAGATTAACTGCTTAAGGCCATGCTTCTTGGGTCTCTCATACAGGTGCAGTTAGTCTTGTATTGATTTTTAACTACCACTTCACATAACCAGACGATATGTAACTATACCTAGAATCCAGAGGCTAACCAAGACTGCTTGATATCCCCAAACTACACAGACTTTGAAGATATTTTAACTACAGTTTACTTCTTGCTGGAGAAGAATCCACATGCTCAATTCTGGACCACTTATCAAGTCCGAAGGTAAACTCTTTTGCATATTTAAGACTCAAATCCTAATTCCTGTCTCAGCTCTTAGTAAAGAGTGTTAACTTCAGATGCACCCCTGCACTGATTCCAGAGAAGCTCCTCCCAGATTGTGAATCAGGCTGGTATTAGCCAAGTAAATCCTCGGGGTATCAGACAAAAAAAGGTGGCCAAACCAGAAAATAATCTAAGAACCACAAATTTACTGTTGACTAGAAAACTGCTACAAACTGTTTTGTGAACTGTTGTTTTTAAACTTAGTGACAGTCTTCTACAATTGCTGCAGGAGTTATAAACTGGGATTACGTTTTCACACACTGGTATTTCCTCCCCTCAGTGCTGACTGGTCGATTGAAGCTTTGCTCTACAAATGGAAACTGAAGAGCATCCACATTCCCTTACATTCGTTCAGTGCAGACAAAGAGCACTTGGCCAGCTCTTCTCTACCAGGAAGACATACGATTGAAATGATGATCATCTCACTAGCAAGATCAGATGGTATTTAAGTTTATTCCACTTGTTGGTTCCAATACAAGGCGATACTTAACTGTTCACTGTAGCATGGATCTGCAGAAAACAGCCCTGTTTACAGCAAACCTCATGCGTATTTTTTGGGAAGCAGATCCCCTTAACAGTGATTCTTAAAACATGCACTGTAAAAATAAAGCTGTTCAATTGTTTAGCTATGGCTTTTGAGAAATTTGTGCTCCTCCCCAAAGACCATGTAATAGTTCAAAGACTCAATTCCATTATGTAAGCCACTACACAACAGAGCTTAACAACCTGAAAATCCACAAGATCCAACTTAAATGCATAACTTCAGCAATGAAGAAAAGTTAACTGCACTCTTTCAAGATAAAAAAATATCCCCATAAGATCTGTTTCCCAGGACTGAAGCTCTTTCCCAAAGATTCATATACAAAAGCCAGCCCCTTTATTTTTAAATGAATCTGCGTAGACTGCCACTAGCCATGCAGTCCTGGAACATACAAACTCAAGTTTGTAGAAAAGTACTTTTAATCCTCAATCAAGCCAGATTGCAAGAATTCAGATGTTTCCATTCCCATTTAACATACATGCATAACAAAGCATTATAACAACCCTTGACACGTGATGGTGTAAGTTACAATTCATTTGCCATCCAAATCAAGAAAAAAAGTCATCACTAAGATTAGCTACCATCAAGCAACAGCCTGTTGAGTCAGGGCAAGCACACAGCAAATGCAATTAGTACTGCTCAGTGTGTATCTTCCGTAACAACATCCAACGGACCTGTCTGATTCTGTATTTATAGTCTGGTGTGCAATACTTGCCATACAACACTTGGGTTAGTCACAATACTAGTTAAGTTTGCCCATAGTAATTTAAAAGCAACCCCAGTCAATAAAATTTATAAGCAGTAGAATGCATTCAGTTACTATATAGAAGTTAAACATTGACAGTATAATTGCAGAAATCTTTTCAAGCTAAAAATAAGCTGACTCAGACATTAAGTTGAGAAAAGTTAACACAGAAAAATGTTTAATATTAACTACAGAGACAGTGGGTATAGTACAGAATGTCTTAAGCAAAAGATACACCAAATCAGTACTTACAAAGGAATGAACCATTTTTCTTAACATTACATTTCTCGTATGTAAGTTCATATATGTAGGTTGGTAAGTTTTACCATTCTGGAAAAAATAAGGTGTGTATATCATCAGCTAGATGTGCTCACTGTATGCTCCATTATTTTTACGCAAGGCCCGGGTGACTGGAAGTGCAGTTGTCAGGCATTTTAATTAACTGGACAGCCATTTGTTTCTGCACGACAAGGCATCGTTACACAGGAGCAATCAGGAGAAAACAGGAAACAGCCAAGCACTCTGCACTGCAACACGCCACCTTAACAGCTAACCAGCATTACTCAACTGCTACACAACTGCGCCTAGTGCACAAAAATACATAAGAGAAGAGATTAGAATTGAGTCTGATAAAACAATCCTTTCAAATATCAACTGTCACCTGAAAAGATTTCTACCAATTTGAATTTGAAGATACTACTTGAATTCAAAGTTAAAAAAAAAAAAGCATTTACAGTACGTTTCAAATTGAAGTTTTGCAGGATTTTATTTAAGGAATGAAGACAAAATTGAGAATACTTTTTGACAGAGTTAGCTACTCAGCATATAATGGCTGCATGTTTCCTCAGTATGAAACTGGAGGCAGCAAGTTACCATCAGTTTAATTTCAAAGTCAGCACTATATAAACAAAAATGAAGTTTTACCTCAAAAATCCAAGCCAATAATGAAATCGGTAGTCGTTCACTTCACTAAATTACAAGAAATTTGAATAACAGCAACAAAATGGCACATAAAATGTAAAATCTGCCACTTCAGGCGCAACTTAAACAAGTAAAAAGTTAGACAAAATGTTACAAAATAACCTTTTCAACAGCTGGTTGCTCGTGCCAGGGGTCTCTCCAAAGGACTGAAGACGCAAGCGATCTTTTCCCCCTCAAAGGCGTCCTTTATGTAGATTCTCATTTATCTGATGCATCTAGGTTTGAAGAAAGAAAAGTTCAGCCAGGTTTCTACCTTGTCTCTTTTGGTTGTGTGGATCACTTCAGGTATACTTCTAGTTGTGTGTCAACTGGCTTTGCCTAATTTAATTAAGTTTTAGGAATTTCCATAGTGTTCCACCTCCCCCCATGTGTTGCTTTACTTCAGAGGCCAAATGTAAGGTTCTGTCAAAGTATTTAGTTACAAAGAAGAATAAGCATCAGGCTGTAGATCAAGCCACCATTAACTTCCATTCAGCCTGTTCAACAATAAATTATTAAAAGTTATGTAGAAATTATAAAACTATTACTTCTTTATAAAGACTTAACTAAACTCTAATTAGCATTCAAAACAGAAAGTGTGACTAATTTTGCTACAATTATCTAACTTCAGAGCTAGCTTAGGCCCTTTCCTTTTAAAAACAGGACCAAACAGTTTGAAGGGTTAAAGACACACTATCCTTTCCCCACCCGGTGTATCCTTAGATGCCTCTTCAAGATGTCGACTTGAGGAAAAACTGGTTTCCATGGTTTTCTCATTGCAAGGAATTTGCCACTTTTCTAGAACAGTTATTACCTCCAGTCAGTATAATGGCCACTGAACCGATCTTCCATTATAAAAGGATAGTGTATCTTTAACATTTAAAGACAAACCTGCTCCAATACACGCCCACAGAAACTGGTCCCTGGAGGATCAGCCAAATCAGTTAAAATCTGCAATACTGGCCAATATTCTTTTAGCAAACAGGAGACCGCAGCTTTAAAGGGGAAAATGCAGATGTTGGATAAATACAGTAAGAAATAGTCATTTTCATCATAGGTTGCGTCTCATACAATATTTTATTAAAACCAAGCCATTAATCTCTCAATAAAACATTTTCTCTGTAAAAAAATTTCTCTGTAGAAAGCCCTTCGGTATTAATTTCCCTAAACCAATAACCAAAAAAGCACTGCTCAAGAAAAAAAAAAGCTATTAATGTGCCCCGTTAGGATTCACTTGGTTCAGGCTATTAATACTCTAACAACTACCCAACACCCCACCTAAGTGCTATAATAAAGTAACATGCAACATGTGCTGATCCCGAGGTACATTACCATGTTCCTAGGAGGATACAGCTCCTTCTTCTTCCGGAGACTTGGGAGGGCTCTTAGACCTGGATCTAGAGTTGGATTCCCTCTTTGAGGCAGGGGGAGGGCTTCTAGATCTGGACCGGGATCTTGACCTGGACCGGGATCTGGAGACAGACGAGGACTTTGACTTGGATCTCCTGGCAGACCTGGACTTCGAGGTGGAGCGGGACCGAGAGCGTGTGCGAGACCGCGATTTGGATCGACTGTAGCGGGACCGACTGCGGGATCTAGAGCGGCTCCTGCTTCTAGATCGGCTGCGACGGCGTCTTCTAGGGCTAAAACATACCGGGGGAAAAAAACAGAGCATTAAAAGTTGAACAAGGCACAACAGACCTCAGCGACTACTTCGGGACAGGGAGGGCGGAACGGGACCCACGTGGGCAAGAAAACGAGCGTTAAGAGGGCGCCATTGTTCAGTGAGTGGCCGGGGGCTAAAACTACTACGGGGCGAAACCCTTCCGCTCCGAGGAACTCCACGTGCCTTCACTACTGAAGCCCTACTCCCCCCTCTCAGCCCCGCCGCGAAACTCACTCGGAAAAGGAAACAAAACGGCGCGGCCCCCGCTGGACAGGCGCATGCCTAAACCCCGTCTCCCTGCCCGATTCCTGAACCTCCGCTGCCCCCCGCACGCTTCCAGGCGCTCACCTGCGG